ATTCCAGCATCTCAACATACATAAGGCAACATGGCTGTCACCTGATCAAAACACAAGATCTCAAATTGATCACGTTGTGATAGACAGAAGGCATGCTTCCAGTGTCTTGGATGTACGTACTATCCGTGGAGCCAACATCGACTCGGATCATTACCTTGTTGCAGCCAAGATCCGCACACGTTTATGTGCGATGAAAAAGGTACGTGAACAAGCACAGCGAAAGCTAGACGTCGAAAAGCTGCAATCACAACAGACAGCTAATGACTTCGCTACTCGACTCTCCCAATATCTGGAAAATTCATCTGAAGAAGCCGATATATGCGCGCAATGGAACCACATCTCCAACTCTATGCGTACCGCTGCAGAAGAGGTGATCGGCTATCACCGTATACAAAGAAACAGCTGGTACGACCAAGAGTGTCGCAATGCTACCGCAGAGAAAGACGCAGCATATCAAGCCACCCTGCGGTCAGTTGCGACGCGCGCTGTTAAAGAGCGATATCGGCAAAAGAGAAGGGAAGAGAAACGTCTTTTCAGGCGAAAAAAGAAGGAAACAGAAAGACGTGAGTACGAAGAGCTTGAGAAGCTGGGCGACAGGAATATGGCTCGAAAATTCTATCAAAAAATTATGGTTATAAACCCGGAGCTAATTCCTACAAAGATGAAAACGGTAATCTGATGATAGATGTCCAAAGCATGCTTAATATTTGGAGGGATCACTTCTCGAAACTACTAAATGGCGGTAGTAGCAATGTGACTGAAAGCGAAGATGATCCCGAATTTTCAATCGTTGACGATGAAATAATCGTCCCGCCTCCCGATCATAATGAAGTTAAAACAGCTATAACGCGGCTCAAAAACAACAAAGCTGCAGGCGCCGATGGTTTACCGGCTGAGCTGTTTAAAGCTGGTGGCGAAGAGCTATCAAAATGCATGCTACAGCTAATTCGCAACATTTAGTCGGATGAATGCATGCCCAACAATTGGAATTTAAGTGTGCTTTGCCCAATCCACAAAAAAGGTGATCCTGCAAACTGCGCCAACTACCGCGGGATCAGTCTTTTAAATATCGCATATAAGGTTCTGTCAAACGTACTATGTGAAAGATTAAAGCCAATCGTCAACCAACTGATTGGACCTTATCAGTGTGGCTTCAGACCTGGCAAATCCACTCTAGACCAGACAGTGCGTCAAATCCTGGAGAAGACTCAAGAAAAACAAATCGACACACACCACCTATTTGTCGACTTCAAAGCTGCTTTTGACACTACTACTAGAAGTACACTCTATGCCGCTATGTCTGAATTTGGTATCCCAGCAAAACTTTTACGGCTATGTAAAATGACGTTGATACCTCTCCGAGCCGTTTGATACCAAACGAGGTTTCAGACAGGGTGACTCCTTGTCGTGTGACTACTTTAACCTAATGTTGGAAACGATAATTCAAGCAGCAGATTTAAACCGTACTGGCACAATATTCTACAAAAGTGTAATGCTGCTTGCGTATGCCGACGATATTGATATCATTAGTCTGAACACTCGCGTCGTCAGTGCGGCATTTTCCAACTTAGAAAAACAAGCAAAGCAAATGGGTCTTGTGGTAAATGAGGACAAAACAAAGTACTTTCTGTCAACAAACAAATCTCCTGAGCGTCTTGGGACCTACGTTACTGTTGACAATTATAAGTTCGAAGTTGTGAAAGACTTTGTTTATTTAGGAACCAGCTTAAACACCAAAAATGACGTCAACCTAGAGATTCAACGAATAATTACTCTTGCCAACAAATGTTACTTCGGGCTAAGTAAGCAATTGAGAAATAAAGCCCTCTCTCGACAAACAAAAATCACGCTCACAAATCCGTTATCATGCCTGTCCTGCTGTATGGTGCAGAAGCTTGGACAATTACCAACAGTAATGAGAAGGCGTTAGGAGCATTCGAGAGAAAAATTCTTCGAAAGATCTATGATCCCTTACGCGTTGGCGACGAGTATCGAATTAGATGGAACGATGAGCTGTATGAGCTATACCGCGACATTAACATAGTTAAGCGCATAAAAATTCAGCGGCTACGCTGGCTTGGTCATGTCGTGCGAATGGAAGAAAGTGCTCCAGCTAGAAAGGTATTTGACTCGGTACCCGCAGGTGGAAAACGCGGTAGAGGACGTCCGCATCTTCGGTGGAAGGACCAGGTGACCAACGATTTGGGGGCGCTCGGTACTACCAACTGACGTCAGAAAGCAACTAATCGGGCTGACTGGCGGAGGCTACTCGACGCGGCCAAGGACGACACACGTCTGTAATGGCCAACTAAGATAAGAAGATTTAATGTACAACATCTGTTGACCCATAACTTCGCGCCTTTTGCTATATATTGTAACAGTTCTTGGAAAAAAGTTATTTTTATTTATTTATTGTTTTTAAGTTTCAAAAAACATCTAAAATATTGATTTTGCGAAAAATTCTAAGGAAAACCGGAAAACATATGGTTATCTAGTTTCCTGTTAAAGCTATATCAGTTAATGGTCGAAAATAGGACCTGCTCCTTTTCATCTTCAGATTTTTAAATTGTCCGCTGCTTTCTATTCGATGTATTTTGTTTTGATCAACCCACACCTAAAATATAAAGCACTATTCTGTAGCTACACGACAAATAATAAAATTTTCGTCCTATGCCTTCTACCTTTTGTCACTCAGTTATATTTTTTATTAGTTAAGAGAACAAAAAATCGCGCGATAACCGAATTTTTTTCCATGAAATCTATAATTTACCAGAAAAATAGTCAAAAGTCTTAACTTACGATGAGAAATATGTCGATTGAAATAAAAATGACCATTTTTTAGAAATAAACGTTTTTTAATTATTACAGAATATAGCGCTTTTGCTACTCACTTGTTTTTACCCAATGTTTGTGTAATCTAAACATAGCAACTGTCATTAACTATCAACGAATACTAAATATTAGTGTATCGTCTACCGTAGCATAGCAGAAACAATCTAGCAATAATACTTAAAATAGGAAACTTTTAAGGTCTTTATTATTTTCTAGTTCTGCTGTAATGAAAATGCAAATAAATTTATACAACCTTTACAAATTATGTATTAATTTGAAATTTATTTGGAAATTGCTTGTAAGTAAATTTGTAATTCATACATAAATAGTAAATTGAATTTAAAAGAAATCAAAACACAATTATTTTTACTTTATTATTTATTTGTTGTTAATTTTACTGTAACAGATAACAGACATTTGCTATTCTTCCGATATAAATTGCTCATTTTTGTAAGATATGTTCAAATAATTTTTATATATTATTTAATATTATGTTCCCACTCCACTGCAGCTAAATAAATTTATGTTAATAAAATCAAGATCAGCATAACTTGGTTTATGCATGTGAGAGATCTCAGAAAGCTCTTTGTTTCTTTATATTTCAATTAACGTCTAACTAAAATGAATATTTTTTATTTAACAATATATGATACAATATCGCGTATCAAATATTGATATGAAAACTTATTTATATATTTTGATATGTTAGGGTTAAGCAATTGAATTATTATCAACTACACACAGGTATTTCTGTCAAACTGATATTGCCAACTACGTGAAAACATAGGAAAGACAGGTGCTTATATTGTTTACAAGATATCACTGTTTACAAGCTATCACTGTTTACAAGCTAGTTTTATAGAACAAAGGTTATTCGAAATGGAAATCAAACATAATAGTGTTATTGAGTTATATTTGGCTGGAAAATCACAACCAGCTTTTGTGTGTGAGCTCAAAGACCTCAAAGTCAATGTTTGTGTATCGTACCATAAATCGTTACAATAGTACAGGCAACGTAGTTAAACACTATGGTGGTGGGCTAAAAAAAAACCACAACGTCACCTGAAATGGTTCGGAGAGTGAAGGCTGGACTTAAACGAAATCTGGTGATAAAACGACCAAAGAACTAAAAAAAACCCAGCAAAGCATCTAACGCTTATTCCAAAATGAGCTTAAGGTGAAACCTTACACATTCCAAAAGGTTCAAGATTTTACACCAAAGCAACAAAATATGAAGACTCAAATAACAAAATGTATTGTTACGCTTGTACGAAAGTGTCGAATTTCCAAACAGTGTGTTTTTTGATGAGAAAAATTTCCCCATTGAGCAATTCATAAACTCTCAAATGATCGTGTTTACTTAACTGAATGCACTACCGAAAATTTGAGGCAAGTGGCCTCCCAAAGTAATTTTCCAAACTAATGGTATGGGCAAAAGGCTGTAAATGTTGTTATGCTCTTAATATTATATTAATGTTGATCAATTACACCATAAACTAAGACTGTATTATTAACATTGGTATTATCTTTGTACCATAAGGATAAGTATAGACTATAGTCGAAATAATGATAACAATAAAATATATTTTTTCTAAAATAAATTAAAAAGCTGAGTACTTCTAAAGCAATTAACCACTTAGCATATTCAAAATTATATATAAATTAAGGCTAAATTTTTAACACCAGCTACACTTATTGTTCCGTAAGTCATCACTCTATTACCTGTGCTTTACGGTTGGGACCTAATTTGTTGATTGATGACCGGTGTTAGATTTCGTCATTTACTAGGAATCCATTACCAAAATAAATTTGCAATTGTCAGCGAATTACAATTGCCTATTTTTTTATTGAAATGATTTTTCAAAACTGTTCGTTCTGTTTTTTCTTAGCAGCACTAACGTCTGCTAGTTTTAGGGTACTAAGTTTTGGCATCTTGGTCACTTTTATAAAGGTGTGAACTAAAATCTCGACAGTAAAGTATTTTTTGAAGTAAACTTTTTGACATATTTTCAACTTTATTTTGTTTTTATTTAAAACGACATTTTATACTCCGGAAAATAACACATTCGATGGTATTTCTAATTCTCGTTAGGATTTACCTTCTTTAAAATATTTTCTTCCTATAACAATATTTCTATTTCTTTTTTTACCTATAATGACTTATATAGTTTATTGATATTCGATATCTGAGGCAACAACACAAAAAAAAAATTGTTTATACTGTATTCTTATAATATTGGTGATGTTTATTTTGGAACTCTTAATATGGAGTGTGTGTTTAAGCATAGTCTCTTACTGCATTTTTCCATTATTTGGAAACGCCATTTATATAATCTCTGAGATTAATATACATATATTTCTACATAGTAGATACATACCTCAATGTAAATTTCTGGTGCCATACACTGTTCTATAATAGATTGTTTTTGATCTTGTATATTTATATCCGGTAAGGATTTGCTTTCTTCCGTTTGAGTATATTTTGAAACGTAAGTAATTGAATCTGATTTTATATCCAAATTTAAACTCAATGGCTTCAATGTTAATATAATGTTATTAAGTACGGAAAAACTATTTTCATTGTGCATTTGAGTTACGTCAGAAACATTTATATTATCTTTAATCTCATCAAATTTCTGTGGTGCATTTATTTCCAGATCTCTTACGTCCTTAAAAATATTTTCAGGTTTCTGACTCTTATTGTAGAGTTTCTCAAATGGTGTACCACATCTTTGGCGAACTTCAATACAAACGGATTTGTCGCCATCAGTATTAAGGAACATTTTAGAAGTTTCATCGTGTGTTAAATTATTTACGCACACACCATTTATCTAAAATAAATGTTAAAATATTAAGATGTATATGGCAATTTTCAAATTTTGTTGATAAATCTAGTCACAAACCTTCAACACAACAAAGTTGATATCATCCATGGTTTCCATATATATTTTTACTTAGAACTAAAGGAAAAATATTTATACTAAAATCACAGGCCTCAATATCAAACTCTGTATTTGCTTATATGAACACATATATACGCCCATAAACAACCGAATGACATAAAAACTGAAATCAAAATCTTACTTCAACTTTTATTTAATTTAAATTTCGTTTTCACTTTCATGCATGATGCAAGTTCTGCTTGAAGGTATAGAGCAGAAAAGGTCTTATACGGTATGGATATTTAATTGATAAGGACACAAATTAACACATATACTCTCAAAAATGACACAAATTCCATTTTAAATCCCATGATTATTTTCAACTTCACCACCTTTAGGTTCGTTTGATACAAACATAAGATTGCACTGTGCCAAATATATAAAAAGAGACCGTCGTAATAATTATTAAAAAGGTAGTAAGTTTTGTGCCATAAATATTTAATGAATTTAATGTTATAACAGTTTATAATAATTTATTTTTTTTAATAATAATAATATTCATTATTAATAATAAGTTAATAATCATTATAGTCTAAATAATTACTAAATTAGTGGTTTAAGGATGATAAAAAAATTGTATTAGAGGTTGAGTTGTAATCTATACATATATTTTGTGTATATTCTAAAAAATTGGTTAATTCAATGACCAAAAAATTATTTGAATGTCATTATTTTATTTTTTTTATGGGCTATTATGTTCACCTAATTCTATTAAAATATCTTATTTCAGTACATCATTTTTTAATTAAAATATGTCAAATGTTTCGGCCAACTTATGTGGCTATCTTAATTGTTTATTCTACATATTTTATAAATATATTGTGTTTAACTATTATACTTGTACTTTTACGTTGCTATATAATGATACATATATACAATAATAATTAGTAGGAGAAAGAAACAATTCTACAATACAGTAAAAATTAAACGACAATACAATACATTTGTATATATCAATATATAAACATATGCAGAAATTCTATATTTATCGTGTTCTCGATTATTGAATGTGTTTTTATGAAAAAATGAAAAATTTAGTTTCTACATATACATAAGTAAAAGTCAGGTCAGTTAGCACCGCACCACATGCATATTTACTTGCATCTGTTGTTATGCAAAAAATCTGGATATTGCAGAATATTAGGGTTTATTAGTGCTTCTTTCAGATATTTGAATGCCCTTTCACATTCCGTTGTCCATTCGAATAATGTATGTTTCTTACAGAGTCGTTTTATTTCTTCATCATTTTTAGGAGTAGGATAATCTCGAGAAGGCAATGGCCATCATTCTTTGGAATGAATTAAGTGCTATTTTCATGCCATAGGGTGATAGTTTAAATCTAAATGAACCTTTATCTGTTGAGAATGACGTAGTGTCTCTCGAATTTTCATCTAATTCTATTTGATGAAATCCAGATGTTAAATCTAACCAAGAAAAATATTTTATTTTGCCTAATTGATCGAGTATATCATCAATTCTTGGCAATGGGAATTTGTCTGCAATTAGTTTTTTGTTTATATTCCTGTAATCTACCATTAATCGCCATCGTTTCTCATTACTTCCTGGTAATGACTTTTTAGGTACTAGTAATATCAGGCTGTTGTATTCTGATGCTGATGGTTCCACTATATCGTCGCAAACTAACTTTTCGGCTTGTTTTGTTATTTCGTCTTTATGTGTCTGCGGTATTCTGTAATTTTTTACATATGTGGGTTCATAATTATTCAATCTCAACTTTTGTTTGTAGAAGTTGTTAACAGATATTTAATCTGTTTCTAGTATAAATATATCAATATATTTTCCACATAATTATTGCAAGTCGGATTTTATAAAGGTTGAGAAATTTTTAGAGAGTTTTTCTAATTTTTGGTCATTTCATTGGGATGATTGGATTGACACCTTATTATAATCGTGTAGACTTTCTATTTTTAGTTTAACATTGTGTATTAACACTGATTTGTTTGTTGTATTTATAACTCTGACCAGAGCGGGTTCACTTTTTGCAATTGTCTTTGCTATATATATTCCTTCCTGAATTGTTTGGTTTAGAATTAAAACCTCTGCTTCTGCAGTGTCAATATTGAATTGTCTAATGACTTCGGTTCTTGGCGATATTGCTATAATATCGCCATTTGACATTGGTATTTCTAGGTCATTGAAATTGTCTGGTCTTACTATTATCCAATATTGGTTTTGATAATAATCAAGAATACAATTGTATTTTTTAATAAAATCTAAACCAATTATTCCATTGGTTGGAATAGGAAAGTTATTATCTACCACATAAAATTCATGTGGAATTAATATATTTTTAAATTTTAAATCCGTGTCTATTTTTCCAATTGTTTTTGTTTCACCTTGCCCTATGCCGTGTAGGATTGCTATTTCTTGCGTAGATAGTTCACACAAGTTTGAAATCTGGTCCTCTTTAATTATTGAAATATCTGCACCTGTATCAACTATAAGTGATGATTCATTATTGTTAAGTGTGATTTTTATTTTAAGAAGGGATGGTAAATTTAATTTTATATTAAAGACTTTACTATTATTTATTTTGTTTACTGAGTACTTGGGGTTTCCTTGTTTTCTATATTGTATGTTAATCTTACATTCCTATACTGGCTTGGCTTAGAACTCCTGGTCGTAAACTAGGGATCCCGGGAAGGGTGCTTCTGTTAGAAGTATAAGTGATTTTCGCAGGCTTTAATTGGTGTAAATGTCATCTGGTCGTTTTAGAAGCCCAATGGAATTAATGTGGCACTTCGAGATAACTGTGTATTTTAGCGCTACTGCTTAAGCTTTAAATCTCAGAGCAAAAGGTTTCCGTGATTATTTTCTTGTCCTACTAATTTCCTTATTGTAGGCTGTGAGAGCATTCTCATAAGTATCCCATTCATCATAGGCCTTGATAAAGAGTCTCAGCGATTTGACTATAAGTTTTGCTAATTTGTTGTTCTACCATGGTGCACTTCTGTTGTCGGTCTTAGTTTTCATCAGACAGGACCCATGGTAGGCATGTATAATAGTTGTGCCTAAGGCAACATCAGCCATTTCTAAATCATGAAGACTTAGAAAAGCAACTCTACATGGTAGGCACCTTGACGTGGTGTAGGGGCTTAGCGACTAATCGTACTATAAATGTGAATATTCGCAATCACCTGGCATTTGTCATATGACTGTGAATTTTTATCGTTTCTAGAACGAGGTGTACAACCAAGATTTACCTTTAGGTAGTTTTGTGTTGTCATGTAGTCTATGTTTTCACGTAGTTGTGTTTTTGTTATTTTAAGTAGTAGAAGTAGTAGTTATTTCATGTGTAATGACTGACGTGGTCCGAATGGCTAGTACAACATCTTAGCATCTCGGGGTGCAGATGAGTCTTTGCATTTTGGTGCTACTCATTAAGTTCGTCAGTCATCCGATCAGCCTTTAATGGAAGTGTAGTTGTTTGTAGGATCGATGACCCCAAAGCAGTTAGGTTATGTATCTGCTGGTTTTGAAGTCGCCAGCAACTGGGCGGGGTGAAGGAAAACACCTTGGGTTTGATTGAAGATATGAAACAATCTGTAGTTTTTGTCCCTAGTCTAAAATTTTTATATAAGGATGTATGGTGTAGTATGTGTGAATGTATGAATGAGACCTGAACAACCCCCCAATCTACGGTGGAACAGCTATGCCTGTAGGAACTTGGTCACGGGGCTAGTGATGACCTTAATAGCGAATTGCGGATACCAGGCGACCTCCGCTTTCAATTTGCATTCTGTCGGTAAATGGGCTCTGCCGATGGCGACTGTTCCCTAATACTCGTGGGATATGTTATGGATACATCTAATAAACAAACAAAATTGGATGATGCTACCCTTATCGCATCAAACACTACTGCTGTCGGGCAGGAAATTAACAACAACCAGTCGACTGTTGAGTCACAGGTCAATGAACCTTTTGTAGATGGTGCTGTTGGGCATATCTGCAAAAATGTACACGCTGTTGAAAATGTTGTTTTTCCACAGTATACTAATGCTAGTAGCACAGAAACTGAAGGGTCTGATGCTGCCATTGACATTGATGGAGTCAGTCTCTGTTCTGAACAGTCAGGTGCTACTGTTGTCAATGTTAGTATGAAAGGGATCAGTTTACATGACCAGAAGGGTTTTATAAAACTGAACTCAATGCAGAAGAAGAGGTTAAAGGCTTAAATGAGCCAGGGACACTCTAGGGATGTGGCCCTAGACATGGTGTCTAAACTTCCAACTCGTGAGCTTTACCTGACGACATGATCATGCCAGCTGGTAAGAAACCAAAGCAGAATACCTCGATTCAGGGATCGAGTAAACCCTCTTTCAGCCAAGTAGCAAGTCAGGCCAAGGGGATCAAATTAGGATTTGTACCTTTTGATTTGGCTAAGTGCCCCCTAAACAGGGAACATATTGCACAGGTACAGGAGGCCATAATTGAGACTGCCATAGAGTTGGCGTCAGACGTGGTTAAACCAGAATTTGAAGATTGTTTCCCTCGCACGGGATGGCTCATGGTGGTGTGCACAAATAACCAAACGGCTGAATGGGTCCGTAAAAATGCGGCAGCTATTGCAACAAAGGCTAAACTGGACGCCAAAGTGGTTGAAGAGCCGGAGTTCCCAAAAACACACCTGGTGCGAGAATACTTTCCACACAGTTGCGATTTTAAAAACACCAAGGTTCTTGCCACAATTGAGGCCCAGAACAGGATGAAAGCAAGCACCTGGAAAGTATTACAGCGGTCCGCAGAAGGTTCACTGCTCCACAACTCACTGGTCCAAAGTGGAGGTAGAATAGCATATCGCTTCAGCCATGTCAAGCTACTGCATAAAGCTAACAGTATGACAAGGGAGGGGCAGTCAGAACAACGGCCTGTGGAACAAAAGGTTCCAAACAAACTCCAGCTCACAAGGACGGAGAGACAGAAAGTGGAGCACGTGGTCCCACAATCAATACTTGCGTCTACTGTGACTCCCAATGAGGCCCCAACTACGAGTAGAGCCGCCATTCAAAAAAGGCTTTCAATGCGGCCAGCTGTGGATGGAGCATTAACAACTCCAAAAGAGCGCCAGAAGGAAAGAGGGCCACGAAGAGCTCGACTTCAGAAGGAAGTCGAACGCTCTCTTAATAAAACAACCAAAATCAGCACCACAGGGGTGTTACAGGCGAACCTGCACCACGCGAAAGGAGCATCGGCTACCTTGTGCAGGACCTTCGCAACAAAAGGACTGGCCATAGCGCTTATCCAGGAGCCATGGACACTAAGTGGGCATACAAAAGGCCTTCAACATCAATCAAGTAAGTTGATATATACCTAAACGTGACATAGAGTCTCCTAGAACTG